GAGAAGAGATGCCAAGAGAAAATTTTCTCATTTCTCACACTAGGGGAAGATTCAGGATTTTTTTTAAATATTACCTTATAAATTTAAGAACTTAAAACTTATATACTATTAAAACATGAATTATTAGCTACAATTTTATGCTATACTAATTGGTATAACATGAACAAAAAGTTGTTTGATTAAAATTTGAATATAAGTCACAAAACCTCATGATATGCGCAGTTAAGGATGGCCGGGGTGAGAGGAGTAAATAACTTTACAACTTTATTCTATGCCAAGTGTTAAGTAGATACAAGTTTGTCTGTACATGTTATTTTTTTGTGTATATAATTTTTTATAACAGAAGCTCACATTATGTGAATTTTTTCAATTATAAAACTTGGGAAATTTTACAACAGAACAAATAATATTTGTTTCTCATATCTTCAGACTTATGCTAGTTCTTTTTATGAGAATTGTGTTGCATTCTGTATGGGTGAAACACCATTTACAGTATAAACGTGTAAAAGAATTTATGTCAAAGGATCGAACTCTTGAAATTGTATTTTTGAAACAGTATTATTTGCATTAATTGTAGTTATTTTGTTACAAAAAATTTAACAAACAAGAAAACATATTGTGCAAATTTCAATTTGTTAAAGGATTTTTGAGTTTTGGTTTGTCAATGTGTTTACTCTTTTGTTTATTGTAGATTAGTGCAACTGCCATTAGTGGGACAATGAGTATAATTTCAGACATTTCACTGTTATTAACAAACTGTAAAGATATTTATAATGTTCATTCAATTTTACTCTTAAGAAACTCAAGACCTCAGATTTTTATGAAGTATTTTCCTCTAGAATTGAAGATTAGCTTTACATATATGTATGTGTAGAAAACATCTGAATTTAATTCTTTAATCACATATTTTCTATATCAAATATTCTATAATGTTGCACTTTAAGAATATCAAGGAAGATTAACTACACTTTATGAATAGTTTTATAAGTCTTGTAATGTACTTGCAATTGCTTTGTTTATTATGTTTTGTGATTTTGTTGCTTATGATTTACATTATTGCCTAACACTGTAATTCATACTGTAACATGCTTTAGCAAATGATGGTAAATATCATTTGTTGTGACTACCTTTCCACAGATTTTCTACTTTACCTGAATGTCCGTCTTTTTACTAAATATATCATTTGTTGTGTCTACCTTTCCACAGATTTTCTACTTTACCTGAATGTCCGTCTTTTTACTAAATATATCATTTGTTGTGACTACCTTTCCACAGATTTTCTACTTTACCCGAATGTCTGTCTTTTTACTAAATATATCATCTGTTGTGACTACCTTTCCACAGATTTTCTACTTCACCTGAATGTCCGTCTTTTTACTAAATATATCATTTGTTGTGACTACCTTTCCACAGAGTTTCTACTTTACCTGAATGTCCGTCTTTTTACTAAATATATCATCTGTTGTGACTACCTTTCCACAGAGTTTCTACTTTACCTGAGTGTCTGTCTTTTTACTAAATATATCATTTGTTGTGACTACCTTTCCACAGATTTTCTACTTTACCTGAATGTCCGTCTTTTTACTAAATATATCATTTGTTGTGACTACCTTTCCACAGATTTTCTACTTTACCTGAATGTCCGTCTTTTTACTAAATATATCATTTGTTGTGTCTACCTTTCCACAGATTTTCTACTTTACCTGAATGTCCGTCTTTTTACCAGATATATCATCTGTTGTGTCTACCTTTCCACAGATTTTCTACTTTACCTGAATGTCCATCTTTTTACTAAATATATCATTTGTTGTGACTACCTTTCCACAGATTTTCTACTTTACCTGAATGTCTGTTTTTTTACTAAATATATCATTTGTTGTAACTACCTTTCCACAGATTTTCTACTTTACCTGAATGTCCGTCTTTTTACTAAATATATCATTTGTTGTGACTACCTTTCCACAGATTTTCTACTTTACCTGAATGTCCATCTTTTTACTAAATATATCATCTGTTGTGTTATGATTCAAACTTCAAGTGAAATGCTACTGTATTAGTTTACACAAATCATTCCTATAATGTGTAATTAACCCTTTGTATACTTTATTAATATTACTGAAATTGGATGCAACTTTTCCAGATTTTGTTTTTTAACAAATTGACATTTATTGAGTTAATACTTCTGTGGGTACAAGGGCTACTGCCCTTTTTATTATTATTTTCAGTATAAAATAAAATGTTTCGGAACAAAAAGAAGTACATACTTCATATACAATGTGATTTAGGCATGTACCAAGCTACTGTTCCTGGCAGAAAACAATGAAAGGAGAAAACACATTACCTTTAATGTTATATGTTGATGTTCTTTAACTTAAAATAAACATAAATGCACATATTGGATTTGTTATCTTTTGACCAGCTATTCTTTTCAATAGGAAAAATAAACTCACTGAAAAATATGTTTGATATTGGTATCTCTAACTCAGTAGAAAGTTATAAGATCCAGCATGCAAGAACATTTTAAAGTCATAAGTGCCAGTATTAAGAGTAAACTGTATGGAAAGTCAAATCATATCAAAACCTGCTGTGTTATAATACACACAGTTTTTGTTTTTAGACTTCTTGTTTTGAGGTGTAACCCTGATATCCAATAAAAAAGAATGATTTATAGTTGTTTTATGTAGGTGAAACTTAAACATGTGTAGGTGAAACTTAAACATGTAGGTGAAACGTGTATCATTAAGAGTTAAGCCAAAGAGCTTTCACTCAGTGACATAGACTGCTTTATGTAGGTGAAACGTGTATCATTAAGAGTTAAGCCAAAGAGCTTTCATTCAGTGACATAGACTGTTTTATGTAGGTAAAACGTGTATCATTAAGAGTTAAGCCAAAGAGCTTACACTCAGTGACATAGATTGTTTTAAAAACTCTTTGGCTTAACTCTTAATGATACACGTTTCACCTACATAAAACAGTCTATGTCACTGAGTGAAAACTCTTTGGCTTAACTCTTAATGACATACGTTTCACCTACATAAAACAGTCTATGTCACTAAGTGTAAGCTCTTTGGATTAACTCTTAATGATACACGTTTAAGTTTCACCTACATGTTTAAGTTTCACCACATAAAACA